AGTGTCTGACGCCAGCCGCCAGCCGGGTGCCCTGGGTCTTTGTGAACAGCAGGCTCAGCAGCCCGCGGGCGGGGTGGCGGTGGGGGGTGATGCTCCACCTGCTCCGGTGAGGGGGAGGAGAGGGGACCAGGCTCCTCCGGGAACTCACCCAGCGCCCCGCCCCGCCCCTCCCGTGCCTCTGCCCGACTGCTTCCTGTGCCTCCTTCCAGCCTCCTGCAGCCGCCCCCATGAGACTCTGCTCTGGGACTTGGGATGCCTGTTTCAGAGCCTCCCCAGCGACCGCTTCTCTGTTGTTCCCATTCGGCTCCTCCTGCAAGCTGTGGCACTAGAGTGTCCCACCACTTGGGTAAGGGCCCAACCACTGCAGTGGCTCCCCGCCTCCCTGCCTGAGAAGAGCCACCTTCCCTGGGATCCTCCTGCTGTGGGCTCCCCCTCCGTCCCAGCACCCTCCCTAGCACATCTGCCTCTGCCGGGCCCTGGGCTCCCAGGAGTGCCTGGTGCAGGTGTGCTGGGCGGGCTGGGGCAGCGGCATCTGGGGTTTGAGCTGGGACGGGCAGGCCTCTCACTAGGATGGAGGAGGCTGGCCCTGGGGAGGGCCTAAGGGCACAAGGCTCAGAGTCCAGAGTGTGTGAAGCCACTGCTGACTCACTGGGCAGTGAGTGCGTGCGTGTGTGTGTGTGTGTGTGTGTGTGTGTGTGTGTGTGTGTTGGGGAGCACTAGCCCATGTGAGTAACTTTCCTGCAAGGACCCAATGGAGGAAGTCGGGCTTGGCCCAGACCCCCAGCAGCTGGGCCAAGGAGGGGGTTCAGCCTCCACGGGAGGGGGAGGACAGGAGGACGTGCTGAGAGAAGGGGAGGGAGGGCGTGTGCTGAGAGAAGGGGAGGGAGGGCGTGTTTGAGCCTGCTGGGCAGCAGGGAGTTCAGGGCTGGCTGGACAGCATCCTGCCTCTGGCCTCCAGGCGTTGCTAGCATTCCCTCCTCCCAATCCCCACCGCTCTGTGTCTTCTCGCCCTGGCATCATTGGACATGCCCAGCTTCTCCTGAAAGCACAGTGTGTGGTCTGAGAGGGGCCTGCCTTGCAGCAATGTTTAGGTCACCTCCACTTCCTATCTCGCTGGTATCACTACCTCCTTCCTCTGTTCCTCCCTTCTGTCCTCCTCCCCATTTATCCCACAACTTCCTTTATTGTGTCATGCTATGCCCAGGGCCCCCCAGAAAGAACTGGGAGTCTTTAGCTTGGAGAATAGGAGAGGATGACAACATACTAGCATTCTTTCATTCATTCGTGTATTCATTCATTCATTCATTCATTTATGTATTTACTTCCATTCACTCACACATTCCCTTGTTCTTTCCCATTCAATTACTCATTCCTTCATTCTTTGGACACTGAACATCTACTATTGATCAAGGCCCTGAATATTTAGTGGGAGGGGGGCAGGATACTCTGATGAATCAACACTGCTGGCTTGCTCATGGTCAAGGAGAAATTAACATAAACCAGCCCAATCTAAGAGAAAAAACAGCATGAGAAAGAAAGGGCTGTGAGGTGTGTGTGTGTGTTTGTGTGAGGGGATTGAGGGCACCGAGGGAGGGGATGTCATTTCCACTTAGGAGGGGCCCAAAAGACTTCCTGGAGGTGGTGCCACTTGAGCCGGGCCTTGTTGGGGGCAGGGTTGGGATGTAGAGTTATTAGAGGGCATCAGAGTGGAGAGAACAGCAGGAGCCGAGGAAACCCCAGGTGTGGGAGGCACCATGGGGAGCCCTGCTCATGGCTTGAGAAGACTAGAAGTCAGTCTGGACAGGGAGGCCAGGGCCAGGCAGAGGGCAGGGCGTGTGCTCCCACATCTCTGCCAATGTCACAGGCCAGGGAGCAGCTTTGTTCTGGGTGACCTAGAGCCATGGTCATGGGTTGATGGCAAGACCCACCTGCCTATGAGAACTCCTTAATTGTACAGGCAGCCTTAGACGGAGTGAGCTCTTCAATCTGGGAGGTATGCAAGTGGAGGCTGGGTACTAGGGGTATGTGTGTGGTGGGTAGAGCTATAGGTTCTGGCCCATGGATGGGTTCAGCCAGGACAGTGCCGAAAGTGAGAGCTGGAGTGGATGATGTCAGAGATCCCCTCCTACCTAGAAAGTCTGTAGTCCTATCTGGGAAAACTAAAAGGCCCAGCAGAGGGAATTCCTGGGGGTTTGGTTATTCACTAGTTCATTTCTTCATTTGCTCCTACCCTCCCTCCCTTCCTTCCTTCCTTCCTTCCTTCCTTCCTTCCTTCCTTCCTTCCTTCCTTCCTTATCATTTACCTTCCTTATCATTTAGTCATTAAACCCTTGCTCCCGGCAGGCCCTGTGCTGAGAACGCATGACTCAGATGAGGTCCCTGCCCTTGTGCGTTCCTAGTCTGATGGTGGAGACAGACTGGTGCCTGATGGTGACCCAATGCAGTATCACCATGGAATATAGGTGGAGATTGTTTTCATTGTGTTTTGTCATTGTATGGGGAAGGAGAGCTGGGATATGGACCTGAAGAATTAACACAAACATTTGTCCTCCAGCCAGGAAGGCCCCAGTGGTGGGGCCTGATGAAGGATGTAATGTGGGAAAAGCAGTATTTGTGGGAGGAAGAACTCTGGGCTCACTGGGCTGAAGAGGCAGGCTTTCTGAAGATGCAGGGCGCCTGAGGACCAGGCCTTTGGGCTGAGTGCCCCACAGCTCATCCCACACCAGAAATGAACCAACTGGAATTGGGAACCTCTAGAGCAGCGGTTCTCAACCTGTGGGTCGTGACCCCTTTGGCGGTTGAACGACCCTTTCACAGGGGTCGCCTAAGACCATCGGAAAACATGTATATAATTACATATTGTTTTTGTGATTAATCACTCTGCTTTAATTATGTTCAATCTGTAACAATGAAAATACATCCTGCATATCAGATATTTACATTACAATTCCTAACAGTAGCAAAATTACAGTTATGAAGTAGCAACGAAAATAATTTTATGGTTGGGGGTCACCACAACATGAGGAACTGTATTAAAGGGTCGCGGCATTAGGAAGGTTGAGAACCACTGCTCTAGAGAATTCCTTGACCAGCGTTAGCTGTAAGCAGACTGTGTAGAGTGGTGGTTGAACTCGTGGGCTCCAGATACAGATCAGGGTTCTTCAACTGTGTGACTTTGGACAGATGACTCTCTGCCTTCATTTTCTCCTGTCAGAGGATAATCACAGTACCTTCCTCGCAGGGCGAGGCTCACGGCTGGTGAGGTACATGGAGTGCGTGCACAGTGCTGGGCGGGTCAGCAGGGCTGTGGTGACGATGACAGTGCTGCTGCTGCTGCTGCTGCTGCTGATGATGATGTTGATATGCTGCCAGGAGCTGCCTTTGAAATCTCTGGGCCTCATTGCCCCGGCTGTAAAAAGGGAGGGCTGACCTAGCTCACTGGATCTCAAAGTAGGGTCCCGGTGCCAGCAAAACAAGCATCCCTTGGGATCTTGTTAGAAGTGCCGCTCCTCGGGCTCTCCTGGAGACGGTCCAGCAGGCTGTGTTTCACAAGCCCTCTGCTGATTCTGATGCTGAAGTTTGAGGAGCATTGACCTAGCTATGACTTATGGCCTCTTCTCCGCCTGCCTTCCCGAGGCTGTGGTTCGTGCAGGTGTGTTTCATGTTTCCGGCATTTAGGGCCCTGGTCTGGGGGCTGGTGGGGAGGGGGCACATCCCTCAGGGGGCTCCCAGGTGAGCTGGGAAAGGGAGGCAGACATCCGTGGAAATAGCCACTGGGGTGCCACCCTGGACAGAACTGCTGACGAGACACAGGCGTCGGTTTTGTAATAAAGAGCAGAGAGGAGAGAGTCCTTTGTGGGTGGGCGGGGCCTCTGTTCCTCGTTCCTGATAATAACACTGATTGCGCCTTGGGGGACACCCTCTAGGAGTCCCTGCAGCCTCTCTCACTTGATGCCTTGTCGTGGGAGGCGGTGGACAGGGCTCCACATCTGAGGTCAGGAGTGGTGCTTCTGGACGCCCTCCTCCCTGGGTGACTTTGGGTCTCAGGTTTCATTTCTGGGCCTTCATGTTCCGTCTGTAAGGTGAGGGGACTAGACTGAGAATGGGGAGTCTGAGCCATGACAGTTCCCTGGAGAGGGTAGGGAGGGAACCAGAGGCTCCCTGGGCTCCCATTCCCTCATCTGCATAGCGAGAGCCTGAGCTTGTCCTGCTGCCTGCCCGAACCCTGTGAGGTTGAAGGACATGAACTGTCCCCTCTCCATGCTGGTTTCCTCTCCAGTCCAGGGAGGCTCAGACACCTGTCCTGTTTACCTCACATGGCTTTTATCACGTGAGCATGTCTGTCATTCTCAGAGGCTGCTTGATGCCTAAATCCTGTCGCCTGGCCTTCGAGGCCCCCCCTCGACAGATTCCCCACTTTTTTCTGCAAAATGAGCACCCTCATTGCCTATGACAGCACCCTCTTCTGTTCCTGGTAGGCCTTCCCTCACCCCTCTTCTCAGCCTAGCCAGTCTTTCAATGGAGAATATTCAATGGAGAATATTTTTTCATTGTTTTTTATTTATTTATTAAAATTTTTTTTTGAAATATATTTTTATTGATTTCAGAGAGGAAGGAAGAGGGAGAGAAAGATAAAAAACATCCACGATGAGAGAGAATAATTGATTGGCTGCTTCCTGCACGCCCCCCACTGGGGATCAAACCTGCAACCCAGGCATGTGCCCTGATCAAACATCGACGTGAGAGAGACACATTGATTGGTTGCCTCCCGAACGTGCCCGGCCCAGGACCGGGATCGAACCTGCCACTGAGGTACATGCCCTTGACTGGGAGTCAAACCTGGGACCCTCTGGTCTGAGGGCCAATGCTCTAATCACTGAGAAAAGCTGGCCAGGGTCCCATCCAGTCTTTAGACCAGCTCTAGCCCTGCCTCCTCCAGGAAGCCTCTTGGCTTGCCCCACCCCAAGTGCCATCCTCGGACCATCTTGCAGTCTTTAAGGTGTGGCTTTACTTTCTCATCTGTAGACACTAAACTGCTGACAGACCATAAACAATTTGAGAGCAAGGCCTGAGCTCACAGGGGTGGACACTGGGGGGTGGACACTGGGGTCCTTGACTCCCAGCGCAGGGAGGCTCAGAGGGAGGAGGGAGCACACCCACGGTCACGTAGCGCGTAGGTGAAGGAACCAGGCCCAGAACCCAGGTGCCTCAGGCCCGGGGGAGGCAGGCTTCGATATGTGGTGAATGAAATGGAGGGGCACAGGGAAGGGCAGAGGCCTCAGAATCAGGTGACCTCTGTGCCAGCACAGCTCCGCACATCGCCCACCTTCCCCAAGGGACCTGTGGTGGGGTTAGAGCGAGGACCACGGTGAGGCCTGGTACACAGGAGGTGCTCAGTGATCATAAGGAGCTCATTGTCCATCCAGCCCCCCTGCCTGGATCGCCACCCCTCTTTATCCCTGAACCGCTGAGCACTGTATTTCATTGCCCCGTCATAAGCAGTCCACCATGGGCTTCAAGGCCTCCTCATCAAGCCTCTTGCAGGAGTGAGAGGGAGAAGGGGCAGTCCTGGTGGTCCCTCAGTCGGTAGTGGCTTCAGAGGGGCTAGGATGGGTGCCCAGGGGCTGAGTCCTGTGGAGCCAATGGGGTGGGATGTGGCAGGTGCCACTTTTAGAAAAGTCATGCCACCTATTTTAAGGCAGGGAGGGGTGTGCCCCGTCCCTGGCCAGCAGTGGCTGGAAGCCAGCCGCCTGGAGCGGTGGGCGGGGGAGCAGCACTCCCAAGGGTGAAGAGTCCTAGCAGGTGGCTCGGGTATCTCTCTGGGACTTGCTGGCAGCTCCCTGGCCTCCTGCCACCTCCCCACCTGATCCCTTGCACAGGGAGGGAAGCCTGCAGACCGGGTGGCTCACCGTCTGCCAGCCTGGGGCCGGGGATCTGGAGCTTCCAGGCCCCTGGGAGCGACCCCAGAGCCAGGAGACCCCGTGGGGAGGATTCAGGGGCTGGAAAGGGGGTGACTAAGTTTGGCTGCAAGCAAAGCGAGTGTGCGGCTAGGAGCCCAGTGGGCGGGCACAGGGCCCCCTGAGGTGGCTGTGCCCCAGCTGGCAGCCTCTTTGCTTCCTGTCCTCCGGGCAGGCACAGGAGCTGCTGCGCGGGGGCTCTAGGAGAAGGGGGGCAGAGGGCAGTCTGCGCGAGGCTGGAGCCTGGGCTCAGCGGGGGCGGGCGCTTGGGAGGAGGAGCGGGAGGAGACTGACTGCCCACAGGCTTCATATGGAGCCGGAGCGACTGTTGCTCAGGTGACTCGCGGCTCTTGGAGGGTGCTGCCACCCGTGTGCCACCGGCCAGCTAGCGGGGTCTCAGCCACCATGATGCAGAATGTTGGAAATCAACTGCGAAAGGTATGGAGCGGGGGCCGGGTGGGTTGGCGGCAAAGGGGAGGGGATGATCTGGGGATCCCGAAAAAGAAGTGAAGTTTCCATTTTAAGTCAGAAGTTCTACGCCTCCTCTCTCATTTTCCACGGGCCATTTTCTAACTCTCTTTTGGAAGGAGAAATCGCAGGACCCTGGGCTGCTTTATTATAAGCAACACTTCCCACACAAGCCCCAGGGCGGTCAGCTCCCCGGGGCAGGCTGTGCTGACAGCAATCATGTTCCGCATGTTCTTTGTGTCTGCGATTCTATGGTGTGTGTGTGTGTGTGTGTGTGTGTGTGTGTGTGTGTGTTTCTCCCGGCAGAGGTCTGTGTGGGTTTCTGCAGGACACACGAGCTCTGTGGCTGTGTGGTCTCAGAGTTCAGGGCTCAAAGGCGACGTTACAGGGCTTGGGTGTGTGGGCCAGTGCGACAGGGTGAAGCCAGAGTTTTGGGGAGCTACAAGCTCTTGGGAGAGCAAGTGCAGGACCAAGTGACACGCGTCCTGCAAGGTGACCTCGCAAACGTTTCCCCGGGAACCTCTTAACAGGGACTTTGGAGCTGAGATTAGATGCGGAGGCACGAGACAGACCCAGTGCTCAGCGGGCGTTTGATCTGGGGAACAGAGGAGGGGTTCAGGACACACTGGCAAAGGTTGTGCTGGGCGTGGAGTGGGTGGCCCCCGAGGATGTTTTCAGGAAAAGCCTTTTTAAAAGGGGCGGACGAAAGTAAAGAAATCTCTCATCCACCTCCTCCCTCCATCCGCATGGTCACCACTGAGCTTGGACTCCGTGCAGCCTCCTCCCTGGTTCCCGTCTCACATCCAGCCCCTTCCAACCCACCTGCCCCTGGAGGGATGCTTCTACAAAGTAAATGTGATTATTCCTCACCTTCTCAGATGGCTGCCTTCAGCATAATGTTCACATTCCTCACTTGATACCAAAGGATTGGGCAATGTGCTCTGCCCACCTCTCCCTCCTCCTTTCACCCTGCCCTCCCCTCTGCATCTAGTATGGCAGCCACCCTGCACTGCTTGCCCTGCCTCCGTATACCAACTTAGTTCTCTCCTCGCTCTGTCGTACATCCTGTACTTTCTGCTAGAGTGACCCCAGCCTCCCCTCACCCCCTGCTAACTTGTTTCCTGGGAAAGGTGCTTTTGAGCCCTCAGATCTCAGCTCAGATGCTGCCTCCTCCGAAAAGCCTTCCCAGATTTCTCTCAGCACAGCGAGCCTCTGTGTTCGTCCCTTCTCACCCTGGACTGTGTGGTGGACTTGCATGTAAGTCTCTTCCATCAGCCAGAGAGTTCCCCAAGGCGGCTCTCGGTGAGCCTGGCACAGTGTTGGGCAGGGCCAAAGCCCCAGGGCAGAGAGCACAGGGCAGAGAGCATCTTCCAGGTGGGTGGG